ACGCAGCGCCGCCACACTGTGGCGCCGAACTCCTTCAACGACGGAAACGTTCCTGCACACACCCAGCACTCATTACCCACATTGCTCGGCACCGAGCACTGCGACACTGCGACATTGACACGTACTGTGGAAACTGGCGGCCACCTCCAGCGCGCGCTGGTAGCTGACGCCCAGTATCTCCATCAGCTTGCGGGGCCCGGCACCGTACAGGCTCGCATACACTAACCGCTTCGTCCGCTCCCTTTCTTCGGCTACTACTTCGCTCTCAGGCTTCTTTAGCCTATATAAACAAAAAACATGTCGTCACATTGATACCGTATGTAATATTGTATAAAGAACGGAACGTGACGCGCGTGGAACGTGACGCGCCGTACACTCGGATATTGTAAAGCATAAGGGTGTCCGGGTGTAGGGTAGGTACCGAGTTACCGACCAGTCGGCCGCCAGCTGCGTAAAGAAGTCGCGCGGCTGGGCCAGTGCGTGCAGCAGACGGGTGTCGGCGGCGAGGTGCGCGAACACGCGGCACTCGATGTGTCGGAAGTCGGCGGCCAGCAGGCGCCGGCCCGGCCGCGCCACGTAGCACGCGCGGAGCTGGAGCGCCGGACACGCGCGCTCTGTAACAGACGACGCGCGCTCTGTAGTAGACGACGCGCGCTCTGTAGTAGACGACGCGCGCTCTGTAGTAGACGACGCGCGCTCTGTAACAGACGACGCGCGCTCTGTAGTAGACGACGCGCGCTCTGTAACAGACGACGCGCGCTCTGTAGTAGACGACGCGCGCTCTGTAACAGACGACGCGCGCTCTGTAGTAGACGACGCGCGCTCTGTAACAGACGACTCGCGCTCTGTAACAGACGACGCGCGCTCTGTAACAGACGACGCGCGCTCTGTAGTAGACGACGCGCACTCTGTAACAGACGACGCGCGCTCTGTAACAGACGACTCGCGCTCTGTAATAGACGACTCGCGCTCTGTAATAGACGACGCGCGCTCTGTAATAGACGACTCGCGCTCTGTAATAGACGACGCGCGCTCTGTAACAGACGACGCGCGCTCTGTAAATGACGACGCGCTCTCTGTAATAGACGACGCGCACTCTGTAATAGACGACTCGCGCTGTGTAATAGACGACGCGCGCTCTGTAATAGACGACGCGCGGCTCGCGATGTGTCTGCAGCGCTGTTATATTGAGATACCATATTATTAGTTTTTGCGTGAAAAGGTATCATGAATAATGGCCAGATCTTTCCTGTTGAAAGCAGTTTAATTATTTTACGATTAATACCATCATTTAGGTAGTTTTAAATCATATCTAGGTTCTAGAAATTAACGTAAAAATAAGAAAAGGAATTAAAATTAAAGTGAAAAATACTGTGAAAAAACAATGCGCGTACTTGTCCTCACTACAAAACATCTGGCCATGGTTCTCGCCGTATATGTATAATACGTGTGTGAAACGCCCTTACCTACCTGTAAATTATGATCTATTTATTATTACCCTTTAATTTTCACAATAATTAGAGATTACCATCGTCTGCACCGGGGAACAGGAAGAGGCTGAAGGGAGCCTTAGGTATAGCCTGCAAGTTAGGGTTGCTGGCCGCGATGCGCCCCGTCGCCGAAGCCATCTGCAGCCTAAACCACATGTTATTGTCAAAGGAACGCACCAATAATGTAACTACTTGAACTGTTAATTCAATATATCTACCAAAAAAAAAATATATTTGTGATTGATTGTTTTGGAGAAAAAGACAAAGTGCGCAAGCACTGCCTCTTACATGATTATCTTTTCTTGGTCAAACGCGGGTAAAGAATGGCTTCTTACTCATACAATAATAGGTACACACACATGCATATGCATCCAACAAACGAATATCAAACATACGAATATATCGAACAAACGAATATGTAAATAAGTAGTATGGGTAGGTACTAGGTGAATCGTGTATGTGGTCTCGTTGACAGAGACAGAGCTCACCAAGTAGGTCGGACAACTCCGTCTCGAACGTGCTGCGCTATGCCGGCCAAGAAAGTGGCGTGCGCCTTGTGCAGGTGTCGGTACTCCAGTACCAGGCGCGGCAGCTCGTGCTGCGACACTGCCGCCAGCCTGCGCAGCTGTAAGTACACTGACTAGTAGAGCTGCGCTGACGGAGCCCACCCTGCGCACTACTCTTAGCTCACCGTGGTCTCGCACGTGGACTTGGCTCCCTTGGCTTCAGTTCCCCCGACGTCGAGGTTGCACTCTTCGTCCAGCCGCAGCTCGTCGTACAGCAGCGCGCGCACCTGCGCCGGCGAGCTCACCTGGAACACTCTGCCGGCCACCTCGTAACACCGCGCCTCCACCGCCGTCAACCGATCGACTACTGCTTGCTCCATCGAGTTTAATGTTTTCATGTCGACGCATACGCCACGAAGCTCCATGGCTGTGTACATACCACATTGCGTACAATATTATATTGTTATTGGACCCTTTACTGAAAATAACTATTTACTCACGTTATTATGTACTAAGAAAAGAGTGTTAAGAATTATGGATAATAATAATTTTAAAAAATTAAAATGAACGAATGACTACTCCCGCCTGGGTGAGGCGGGAGGGAGTGTCAGACTCTTACTGACTAAAAACCACCCCGTTCCTTCTCCTGCACGTCGAGCCGGAGCCCCGGTTACCCGTTAGGTTCTCCGCGACTCCGAGTCGGCATCGGCCCTATTGGGCCCCATCTGTGGTGGTCTGATGGCTCTTTGAGGCGCGCGCGAAACGCGACGCGCCGTACGGTCGGGTCTGTTTCTGGTCGGACGGGGAGCCACCCATGCTCGCCGTCCGCAGTCCCGCGCTTACGGTGGCCGAAGATCGTCCCGGGATCCCCGACGCCCGGTGTGTCCTTCGCGATGGCTGGGTTGCAAGTAGCTAGCATGACTGCTTCGCAAAAGGAGGAGACGTCATCCCAGTCCCCCTCGCTCCGCATCATGGCCTGCACTAGGCCCGGACGCGAGAGGTCACCATCGCCGATCACTTCCCTGAGGGCACGGCGGTGCTCAGCCCACGCAGGGCATTCTCCTACTGTGTGTTCCACCGTGTCCTCAGGGCGGTCCTCGCAGTGATGACACCCGGGCGTCTGCTTACCCCCATAGGGTAACGCTAAATGATTCCTATATAACTCTTTCGCTTCATCAACAGTCATCAGTCTTTTCTTGTGTGCTTTACGGGTACTTTTAATTTGGCCCTTTTTTATTGTATCGCCAATCTGATCGATGCACGTCTGTTTAGAGCGACCTCTACCTACTAACTTTGCTCTCTCTTTCTACCCCCTAAAGGAGTCCGGGCGCGGCGGACTCAGGGAAGACCCCGTCACTTCGTTTAAAAGGACTCGAAGCCCGAGACAGAGCATGGAGGAGAGCTACTTAGACTCAACCATCGCATTCGCTTGACAAGGCAGGCCACCGCGAATTCAGTGGCTGCGGAAGAATGTGTTTCCCGGACCCTCGTATGAGATGGGTCACCGACATAGTTTTTAGTCAGTGAAAGTCTGATAGTCATTTTTGTCCTCCCCAGGTAGGTGGTACAAAAATGCAAAATAAAGGAAATAAAAGTTTAACGAAAAAGTTAAAATCAAGTGTTACTTACCTTCAACGAAAAAAATATAATGAGGTACTAACCAGTAATGATAGGTATGAGTTTCATTTCAATTTCAATGAATACATCCCATAGAGAATGTTCAATCAGCATGTCTAATAATTTGACCCAACACTCCTTCAATTGGCTCATATACCAGCTCGACTTTTGTAGCGAACATTCAGTAGATCCTAGGACGGACGAAGACTGCGAGGAAAGAGCCAGCAGCCTTTGTAGACCTGAGAAGTTCTCCGGAGGATTGTCTGGATCCAGCAATGTGGCGCCGATCTTTAATTAAATCAATACTCAATGCTCATCATCCTCATATGATCAAATACACACCTTGGGCATAAACTGCCCAGACAGCCGAAAAGATAGGCAGATGAAAACACATTAAGTTGATGTGAATGTGTGAGTGGGAATAATAAGTAGTTATAGTGACTTGCCTTCGCATCGCGCATATCTATTGTGCCAATGTCTAACTCTAGATGGGAAGCGAGGAACATTAGGACACTACGAGCGTCGTAACACACTACGACATTGTTCGTAAGCAAGTAACTTAGTGCTTTCCTGAAACAAGTAACACGTTATTAACAAAGGAACCTTTGTATGTCGCGTATTACGTAGTTGAGTACTTCATAAACAACCGTAGGTACTTACTTGAGGTTCGGACCAGGAGTCTTGAAACAGTAGAACATAGCGTTATGACAGATGATGATGCCGCTAGGAGAGCACGTGTCGTCAGTGTAATGACTATTAAGCTGACAGAAACCATTGCTGCAACATGTATAGACGAAACGAGATTACTGGTCAACCTATTCAATGCAAACTAACAAAATACTTGTTATATATTATAATGTATTTCATTATTTCATGCATTACCGATTCATGAATTTTAACTATCGCTACGACTCAGTTACAATTGGGACGAGTGACATATTAACTACGTACTGAACAGTGGCGTGCAGTCCATATAGGCGAAAAGGCTTTGCCTACCTATAAATATCGTGAATATATAACATACATAAAATGTGCAAACGCGTTTATTAAAATTCAATAATATAATAAAAGTTTGTAAAAAAACGGCTAACATAAATACGCGCCTTTGTAAAGTAATGAATGCGCCCCGCAAGCACCACGCATGCGCCACTATTCCTTAAATCTTGGTTGGCAGTAGTGACGTCACAAAAGAAATGTACCAAAAGTATGCACCGCGCATGCGTGAAGTTCACGACCATAGTCACGGCACAGAATAACCATTCATAATTATATTACACGATTCCTGTTGATTGACAAAATGTTTGCAACTAAAAAATTAGAGGACCGTTCGTTCATCACTTGGAAAACGATCGTATTTTATTAAGAATTCTAAAACAATAAAACAGCAACAAGTTATTGTATTTTTAAAAACAATTAAATTATAAAAGGTTTTAAATTGATAAAATCTGTATATCGTAAAGTACTGATGAATGGAGTACA